AAGGAGAATTGTCTCACTAATCTCCTGTGTTTCCTGGAACATGCCAGTACAGTAGTGGAGGTGAGTATGTTAAAATAATTTTCAAAATATGTTTGACAGGGTCCTTTATGAGACACTACACATTTTTTTAAGTCATCATCTATAAGAGACAAAATATTATGAGTCAAAAATTGGCTAGGTGAGCAAAAGCACAGAGGAGGATTAAACAATCAATTTTCTCAATGGCCCAGTGATAAGTTTTGGTTGTGAATGAACAATCAAAAGAACAACAAGGTTAATACACATGGCTAGAATTTAAATCTAAGTGAGACTGAAATCACTTCAGTGGTTCTGTTTGAATTCAATTTTTTTTAATTACAGTTTTTCCAAATCAGTTCAACCATTACGAGTATCATATGCCACACAGCAAGATTGATGGCACTAGATGAATAGCATTGCCTTAAGTCTAGAGTGAATACTATTATTTACCTCTGCATGGTACTTTTCCTGAAAAATTACCTACAAGCTAGGGTTAAAAGCTCCAAACAAAACACTGCCAAGCACTCATTAATCCACAAGAAGTGTCTTGTTACTTAATTGTTGCTGCAGAAACTAAGTTTGGAGCAAGGCTACACAAGACTATAGATCTCTTTATCTGAAGGTTTTGTCTTCAGTAAAAAGAAGGGCCGAATGCGCGTGTTAACTAAGGCGACTGGCTAGACTTGGACCTTTAGCACTTGCAGAACTGGACATGTATGTATAACTGAGGGAACCCGATTTACTACAAGCAGAGACAAACATGGTTGCAGGATTACAATACGCGTGTGAAGGAAACACATCATCAGTAGCACCATGAAGACCTCAGTTTGAAACAACAGAACTATAAATGTTACAGAGAGAAGCAAGTGTCAAAACGGGGGGGGGGAAGGTAGCAGAAGTCTACTGAAACCTGGGTGGCATGCGGCAATTCGGACGTATTTTCTCCCAGAGCCGTTAGCCCGCAAGGGCAGGAAAAGGCGACCGTCGAGCTCGCTGCCTGTAACACGTACGTCAGTGGCAGGTGTTGGGCGTGGGTCCGACCAAGCCTCCAGTGTCCCTCGCCCAGTGCCAATGTCCCTCACCTAGTGAGGTACTGGGTTTTGCCCAGTGGGAAATCTCTGCTGCTCTCCCCCTGCCCACCTCATTTCCATGCAAGCAATGGTGGCCCCAAACAGACATCCCGCGCTGTTGAAGCAGCCGTTCAGGTTAGACATCTGGCCACAGGAGGAGGAGGAACAATGGCTGTCGTCTCAAATAAACTGTCCCAAAGTCAAGCACACATGTGCTTATGCGCATGTATTTTCAAATGGTCTAATCAGGGCTTTGTTCAGATCTAGAAATCTTTGTTTTTCCCACTTCTGGACCCCAAGTGGTTTCTTAGTGGTTGCTTTCATTACCATTTTTTAGGACTTTAAAGTTAACAACCAAACTGGGAGAAAAATCTGTATTGCTTTAAAATTAGACCATTATCTTGTAATGGCTGGTACATTATCTGGTACTGGATGTTTCAGAATTATTTTTCATTCAATTTATGATACAAAATACCCATGTTTTTCCTCTTTCTGATTCCAAAAATCTTTTTTGTCAATAAAATTGATGTTCTAACACCAATTTCAAAGTGCAGAGATCTTAATTATATGTTAATTATTAGTGACTTTCATCAGGTCATTCTGTTCAGTCCTGTGGGTGTTTTGTTTAACTGGCCAAAATTGCCAATCCCCAAAACCAAGAATGGATAAGTTAACTGACCAGAAGAGATAGAAGCTGTTTGTGAGATTTTATTTCAACAATAAAAATGGAGTCCTTTCTGGTTTGTTAGTTAGCTGGATAGTTCTCTTTGGGCTTACATTTTCAAACAAATTTCACACTACATACTAAAAAAGATCACGATGGAATCATGTGTCACCACTAGTGCTTTTAATCTGTATAAAATGTCTTCCGACAGAGTCTAAAATCACGAGGGCTGGCAACACCAGGCCGTATTCTAGATTTGTTTCTGCTTGCCACTGACCTTGCAAAGTGGTGACACTTGCTGGACACCTAAATCCTTTTTCCTGTTTTTGAGATTCTGTTTTTGCCAGCCAGAAGGAGACTGTGCCCATAGTTTCCCTTTTTGAAAAATATTTTATTGCCTTTAAAACTTACCACTACTCAGCAGCAAAGAGCTGTAGTTTGGGGAAAGGAGTATTTTTCTGATACATTTTCTCATATTTTATTTATTGTTTTCTAATTCTATTTCATTTTAAAATGTCTGAATTCTGAATAGTAGTGATAAGTACACCATATGATCACAATTCAAAATATTGTTCCAGTAAATTCACATTCAAAGAGGTGATAATTCTTGATAATGGCAATTATTAACCCTGTAAATATCAGTGGTCTTACTAAATCTTTGTGTCAGAAAAGGTTACATCAAATTTAAATTATGCAGAGAGCTTTATTATACACTACAACTCAAAGTACAGATGGAGAAGAGAAACTTGCTGGAAAAAGACCATTAAGGTCATTTTTCATTGAAGTGTGGATGAGAAATAATCTTGGGTAAAAGAAGAAATGAAACATTTTTGATATATCAAAAAAAAGAAGGGTCACCCTTATTTTTTTAATCAGCACTGTAGTCCTTTCCATGGATGAGGTATCGTTGTCAGACTTGGGCAGGCAAGGTGGGAGGAAAGAGCTCTTCTGTTGTAACAAATTGGTTTCCATACAGCATAGAGCACACTTCTTGGAAGATGTTTCCAAAAAGGTGACAGTGAGGGTCAGCGATCATATAACCCAGAGGAACTGCGTCGTGGGCAAATGGAAATCGTACTGAATAGCATATTTTAGACATAGGATATCTTTAGGTGAAAGCCACCAGAAGCTCCCGGTCTGGCTGGCCTGATCCTTCCATTGACAGAGCTAAAATAAAGCATTATTATTCAAAAGAAAGGGCCACATAGTTCGTTCTTGCACATAGTTTTGGGCTCAGCACCCCATCTTGTAGAGAAAAGCACTTAGCTTCTTCAGGAATGGGGTGTCACAGGTGGAAACACCATTAGTCTGCATGCACAACATCCCGTTGTGGAGAAAGCAAAAATATTGGTCAAGTGATGCAGCAGATGAGAAAGCTATCCTTGTTTGGATCACAGCCTTAGGATTAAACGCCCATACTGCAAATCTCCTTTCCATCAGTTTACCATTATAAACTCTTACTGTTGGAAAATTTTTCAGTGCGTAATTCATTGATCTTTTGAAAATGATAGCATGTGTAGAGGTAGCAAAAGGACTGTTTCCTTCCAAATGTCAAATAGCCTGTGTTTGGTTGCTTGTGTTTAAAGAACTTACTGTATACTAAAGATTGTTATGTACTTGTACTGCTGTAGTTGGCACTTATCAGATAAACGAGTCATACGATGAACAATCTGCCTCAAAGAACTGAAAAGTAAAGCAATTCTGATACTGAAACTGCAAACCAGATGACGCTCTGATTAGAGGCACCCACGTAGATTACAGAAGTATAATAAATCATGCAACTTTTTAGCCTCAAATAAAATAAAAGAATGCAGGTTTTATTAGGAAATAAACTGTTTATCAAGAGTACTTTAGAGGTGACATTTATTACCAATAAACTTTGTTGAAAGGGCTGATCCCTTCATTGGCAGAACACCCGGAGACTTTCAGCTGTGTAAAAAATACCCCAGCTCAGTCCATGCAGGGTCAGGAAGCACTTCTGTCAGTACTAATGAAGGATGGGCAAGAGATTCGCATGCATCTTTTTCAGATAAAATAAAATCTTATCTATTTAGAAAGAAATGAGTCATGGGAAATACAGCTCCGGTATTATTCTGGGACTGACGATAGCTCTCAGAACAGGTCTGTGGACTATTACTGAGAACCGATTCCACAGTCAGTTAATGGTACCAAAAAAGCTGCAAAGCGTCTGCCCGACAAACTCTTGATAGTGTCAGTGAGCCATAATAAGGCAGGATGTTGTTTGCTTTTCAGCTCTGGAAGCTTATGGGCTGACTCTTCAGAGCTGTCACACTCGTATTCACACTTATGTCACACTCATTACTTCCCATATTAATTGTGTTAAGTTCTTGTGTGCCAGGTATTATGGCTGTTGGTGCTGAACATGTGAAAAAAACATGTCCAACCAACAACAGCCTACGCTAGAGGGGAATATAAGCGTTGTGTCTCATCAAACCATCTCTTATCTAAAGTGTTTAGTTTATACATATCAGCTAGCCTGCCCTCCCAGCCCCCTGCCAAAGCAGCGTGGCTCTGGAGATCGGATCATTCAAGCTTGAGTGACCACAGTGTGGCTACCTGAAGCGGTGTCAAAAATGACTGCATACAGTCATTTAGCTCATAAAAAATGTCCTTCAGAGAAAAAAAAATCTACAGTGAGGAGGCAAAGGTGGAGTGCAGAACATCTTATTTAGGGCTTGCCCTATGGCTGTGTCCTGCAAGGCAGAAATAAGTGGCAGTTAGGAGCTCATTCAACTCCTTTGCAATGAAAAAGGCTATTTCAGGGCGAACTTCTGAGCAAGTTCAGAGTGCCAAGCATTTATCATTCTGACCTTGTCTGTGAAGTCTATTTCATATTAGTCCATAGTGTGCACCCCATTACTTGGTCATGAACTGAAATTTCTATTCTCACACTACAAAAAAATTTCTTCTGTTATTCTCGCCAATGAGAATACACCGAGTATTTAAAACGTGGTTGCAGATTGTCAGAAAAATCAAACTTCTTGCACTTAAGGTGCATTAACCATTCAGGAAAATGAAACGGTGCTTAAGAACTGCTCTCAAGAGTCTATGATGAAAATCAATGCAGCTCATGTATTGTCTAGATTATATGTAAACTGGGCATTTCCTAGAACCCACAGTGACTTAAATATTTCACTACCCAGACGTTCATGCTACTGATATGCTATTATTGTCTGCTATTCCATTGACTTTCTAAATACATTTTACTGTACGATATTATTTTTCAGGAGATGACCCATTCTTGGCCTCCACCGCTGTCAGCTATTCATACGCCAGGCAAGGTTGATCAAAACAAGTTTCCCTTCCCGAATAAGGTAAGTCACTCAATATAATGTAGGCTCATGCCTCTCCCACCTCAGGACGTCCTGCATGAGCCGTGAGTAAGCGCAGTGGTGGCCCTGAGCTGAGAACCGTGCAGTGCCATTGACCTTTTCCATGTGTGTGCCAGTATCTCCTGTCTCTCAGAGAGTTTACATACAGAGTCCACTCTGTAGACTTTAGTGTGGGGAATAATTACAACTGCAAGGCTAACAAACCTTTAAGAGCTTTTCTGTGGATGATGGTGTCATGGTTTTGAAGCACCGGGGGTGTAAAGCGAAACATCTCTATCATGTTATGACAGAAATGAGAAGGAAATAGCTCACTGTCTGGTTGTGCACTCAAGACAGTTGACTGAGGATGATGAGGGGGCCAGAGGTGTGTTATGTTAGAGTAAGTCCAGCAGGAGATGGATCAGCAGCTCGCACGCAGGTGAAGTGCTCGACCGTGCGTGATAGCCGTGAAGGGACGCTTACGACTCTGCAATTTCTGCCAGAGTTATCCCCACCAGATGTGTTTGTGTGGCATGTGTGCAGGCATGCTTACAGGTGAGATATTCGCCTTTCAGTATGTGCGTATGGCCATCATGGATGCATTGCCTCACAACTAAATGCCTCACGATAAATATAGTAAGAGTGGAGCCACAGCCTACAGGCCAGAGAAATGTGAATAATGGTTGATATTGACTTTCCCATCTTCTCTCTGCCTGTTCATCCATCTCTCTGGGAAACATTCTAGCAGATCAAACTGCGGAGCCATTTAATGAGCCTCTTCCAGATAGTTTCCTTTTCTCTTACCAAAGTAGAATTTCCACTCATTTAAGCTTTGAATGGACAAGATTTCATATATTAATATACATGCATGCATTTATACATAAGGCAACATCACAACTGTGTTGTGTCCTGGGTCTTCATAATCAGAAAGTAGAGTGCCATGTGTGAGATGGGGAAGGAGCAGTACCTAATGAAACTCACTTGAATCCTGGAAAAATCCCACATTCCTGGCCACAAATCATGATAACTGTAGACATTAGAAATGTATTTATCTTTTTCAAAATATTTTAAAATACTTAAAAGGAATTTCTGTGGCCTCCTCTGAATCAGTCACATACTCAAGACGACATCTGCTTTTCAGGCTCCAAAATGCAAAGAATGTTTTCCTAATTTTTCAGATATGTTTCTAAAGCATTCATAAACTAGCTATTTTCTTTTCACAACGTGGTGAAAAGCAAAGTGGTGTAAAACCTTTAGATCTCATAGAGGATGGCTTCATAACTCTTAGGAAGCTTTCCCACGGATAAGCTATGTAGCTGTCCCAGCCTCTCTTGTTAAAACCTATGCACTGCACCAAAACATAGTGGATTGCATGTTATTCACAGAAATGGGCCTGTCAGTCAAGTAGAGGCTAAGGCCAGCAAAGAGGCTAAAAAGCTAAATTCAGGGCACTGGCTCCATCTCTTAGTTCCAAGCAGCACATGGTACCGTGAACTCATTTTCAATCTTTGTGGAAGTGTTAAGAGATGAGGTCAGTTCCTTTGCAATGCCTCTTCCAACCAGCTCCAGAGAAACAAGTAGGCTGCAATCCTTCTTTAACAGAAAAGAGCCTCCCAGGTGCCAGAATACTCATGGTTTTGGGAATGAGAAAAATAGAAGCTTGGAGGACTCCTGGCCTGTTGCAAGGATGCAAATCATTCTCACTTTTCTGTCTGTAAAAACTGAGTATCAGCATCATTAATTCTTATACATACCAAACTACTTTTAACCTACAGCTCAATTAATTAGTGATTTGACAGCTTGAAACTTGAAATTCATTAATTAGGCTATTAAAGTTGCAAAGGCCAAGCAGCTATAGCCAGACAGGTTTTTAAATTAGTCTGGCCAAAAAAAAAGGTAAATAAAAAGGTAAATAACTGAGTTCTGTATGCCACAAATATAATAGACATGCATATTTGAAAGTGTGCATGTGGATATGTGTATTTATATGACTATATGCTCTCTGCATGTGGGGGGGTGTATGTGCATGTGCTGTACATATATAAAAAATTAGATCTTCATTAACATTGGAGATCTGCATTAATTCACTACATTGGAAGGAGAGTCAGTGTCGAGAGCAAAATGTGTAGCAGTGTCCAGCAGCTTCTCCTAGACAACACTGCTGGGAAAGTGCATTTAAGGAACTATCCTTTATGTAACAGAGGGCATAAAGTTACATTTCCTCCTTAACTTTGAATTGTCTTTCTCTGCGGAATTAATTTGCACTCTTGAATTTACTAGGAAGGGGCAATGACAGTCTCTTTACTTCTTGCTTTTCAAAGCTTAAGGATAATTGAATCAGGGTGTGATGTGACAGGCTCTCTACAGTTTCCTTTCTCCTACCTATGTCATACTTTGTTATGTACAAATGATTAGGCATTATTTGATTGTAATTTTATTACAAATATCTTAATAAATAAACTTTAAATGAATAATTAAATTTGGTAACTAAGAGCTCACTTGATGCTTGTGTGAATGAGCTTTCATGTTCAGGCATTAATTCTCTACTCTTGTGTGGGAAGAGATGCTGTTAATTCTGCTGCCTGATTTGCGCTCTTTCTTCATTTTTGTCATGACTTCATGTCTTGAAAGTTCAATCAGGTGTTTCATTTCTGTTTATATCTATGTGATATTATGGGGTCAGCCGTCCCTTTTTAGCTGAGAATTAATTTATCCACTCCAGGAAAACCAATGCTTTTTCACAAAAGTATTGAGTGATTATTCTCAGTAGAAGCTTAGTTAAGATATTAATGTTATCTTTTCAGTGGTCAATTCATTTACTTTTTCCTTTCTTGCTGATTTTAACAAGCTGGAGCAAATGCACTAGAAAAAAACCTCCAAAAGCGAAGTATTCACCTTTGCTTTTTGAGATACTTAAAGGCATATTTTTTCCTACCTCAGTGGGTGCATTCTCTATTTCACTGTAGCATTTTTATTTTAGCCTTTATTATTAAGGATAATTTGTTGAGAAACAAGACACTAATTTTAAAGGATCAATTAAAAGGAGAAGTGAAAATGTTTTGTCTCTCTCATTTTGCTGATGGCAAATCTGAGACTGTGCAGAGTCAACGGCAGAGGCAAGATACTGCACTTTGAATTCAGGTAGACAGTTTAAAGGGGAGCGTATATTTTTCCTCAGTTTGATGAAAATATAGAAGATTGAGGAGTGCCTCAGCGGGGAGAGTGAGGAAACACCTGCAAATGGTGAGCAAGATCCTGGTTTTGCAGCTTCAAACACTTTTGCAAACCAAAGGTGGTATTTCTCCAAATAATTCTATCCCCCAAAACAGAAAACAATCTCATCATCTACAGCTATGTAAATTTGCTACTCTGAAAACTGAACTTGCTCTAATAGACTCCTTTTCTTATTGGCAGTCTGGCTTGCTGCTAGAATAACATTTAAATTCAAGTGTATGTGTCGCTACATCACTAATGCAAGTGGATCCTGACTTCTTAAGATTATATTCAGTCACCAGAAAAAGACAGGCTTTAATATCTCTTCATCAGAAGCAATCATAAAAGACTGAGACAATTTGTCAAAAGTAGGCAATTTCAAATTACTGAGAAATTACTGTCATGATATGAGACATGGTACAGGTCTTTTACTACTACAAATGAAGGTATAAACTCTTAGGACTTGTCCAAAAATTCGATGTCTCACTTTTCAGGCATGTAGGATGGCAGTCAACAGCAGATGCTTATTACAGCCATATAAATTACAGATCAAAGCTGTGCAGGCCAGAGAGCCTTGACTGCAAAGCAGACTGTGCAGCTGGTGGGCCCTCGAGATCCCAGCGCCTTCAGTTCAGTCAACCTTCATTCAGAGGTGCCGAGAAACTCTTGGGGCCCTGAGCGTTCAAGGCGTGCTTTCGCGTGACTCAGCCACAAAAATCTCCGCTCAGCCGGGCCAGAGCACGATCGAGCTCTCTGGGGACTTCCCATTCCCCTCTTTAAATCTCTACCTGAACCTACGGGCTCTGGTGAGCCAGCAAGAAGATTGTGCAAAGAGGGGTCAGAGGATAAGAGAAAGAGAAGGGAATTAGCTTAAGCTTTTTTTTTTCTTTGCTTTTCTGCTTTTTTTTTTTTTTTTAAATTTAAGAGCAACCTAAATTCTGAAGTCTCCTGGCTTCCTACCTTGAGGAAAGCTACAGATTTCTCAACTGCTTTTCCTCTTCAAAATGTAGCAGAAATTTACACATACCAATTTTTGCCTGGAAGTAAAAGGAATAAATATAAATAAAAATAAGAGCTTACGGTCTCCGGCTCTGCTTTTGGCTCATGGCTCAGCCTCTGCAGACCAGCAGCCTAGTCCAAGGTCTGATTCCTCACTGAAAATGTATGTGCATGTTGCTGGAGGTGCCTGGCCTGTCAGCGTAGTCTTTGCTGTGTGCATACGAGGGGGTATTTGCGAGGGGGTATATGCTGTTCAGAAGCAGAGTTACAAATGGGAAACCTCCCTGGCTGCCATCCATAACCCGCTGCACCGCGGGCTCAGCTTCCAGCATGGTAGAAGGCACTGTGCTGAGTTAATGTTTGTGTTAAAACCCTTTAGGGGCACAGTAGAGGCACTCAAAATAGCTCAGAGAAATAGCTGGACTGAAAATGGTCTATTCTGTGCCGATTTTATGGTAACTGAGTTTCTAGTTTTAGGTAATGAGAGGAGCCACTAACAACAAATAGAAATGATATAAAGCAGTGGATGCATTTCAGTAATATGAGGCTAGTGCTCTGCAGCTTTTGATGTTCAAAGTTTAGAATTTGCCCATCCCTGGACAGAACTACCTGAAGTGAAGCAGATTTGAACGTATCACATCAGGAGATTTAATGTGGGGCAGATTATCAACAACGTTTTCTCAACAAGCTTTGCAAAACACCTAATATTTCTATTGAGGTGAAAGTACAAAATCACAAATTTTAGGTTTGCCACCAGGGACCAGACTGAGATACACAGATATAGTTGAAGGCCAGGTGTTTTCTGATAAGATTTCTATGTCATCCTGATATTTCAATATCTACAGTAGCATTCATGGTTTTTTCTAGAGATAAGGGAGAATAAGGTTTACTTGATTGTTTTCCTTGTGTGTTTTTTTCTTAATTATCTTTTTGTTATACGTTATATTTGCATTTCCTTTTTATTTAGAGGCTTCTTTTATGTTTTCGTGAATGCAGACAAATTCTGTGAAATATGTGAGCCTTTTTATGTGAAGAAAAATCTAATTTAATGTACCACATTCATTGACATTGTAGTTTTGTTACATGTAACCTCAGGGAGCCAGCACTAGAGTCGGTATTTCTGTTCTCCAGTGCTGTGGATAGCAACACGTGAAAAGAAAAGATCAACTGTGCTACTACCTCAAGAATCCAATGGCCCATGAAACTATATTGGTCTTCCCTCTGTCTTCTCATCTAAACGTCTAGAAAATAATAGGCCAGTTTTAGCTGATCAATAAATGAATAGTGAGCAGGAACTTGTAATGGCCGTACAAGGAATTGCACCATTAAAGGGTTGTCGTGGAATTAGTTTACAAGCCTTAGAATTAATGCATTTTCAAAGAAATATCAAATGCATTCTTGTAATTGAAAATGACTTTTAAACTGAATGAACAATTAACTATGCTGTTCGTATTATTAAGGTAACGTTCAAGTAAGTATTACAGCTAAAAATTCCCATTAAAATAACGCACTGTACCTTTTTTTGTTATTATTGCAGGAGTCACAACAGGGATCTACAGGACACAGCAATACAAGTACGTACTACCTTATTTTACAGCTGCATTTAGTGAGATTTTGAGAATGACTATGAAAACCGAGTGAATGACAGAGTAAGGAACCAGTAGCAGACTGAGAGGGTGCAGAGTCTCATCAGGCAGTACCCAGTTTTGGCCAAATGTGGAAAACTGGATTCAAGAGTGACCATGAAAGTATCAGTTTCTTTGGGGACCGGGAAGAACAAAAACAATTCATTATGTCTAATCCTGCTGTATATGGAAAAGATTAAAAGGGGAAAGGAGTGACTATTCTAAAATGCCAGGAAAGAGCTGACCTAGTTGCATGAGCGTGGGTGCTGCCACATCCAGACTGCCATAAAATTCTGCAAAAACACTTGCTATCATTTATCTTTTATAGCCAACGGTATATTTTGTGGCTATTACGCTGTAATAAACTGTAGATAATTCCTGCCAAACTAATGGCAAATAATGCCTCAAAAGCCACGTGGCTGTGGGTCTTTTCTGGTTTGCAGCATGGGAAGGGCAATGGTGTGCACTTGTATAGCTCCTAGTTCGGGCCTTTCAGCAGACTCAAATGCACAAATCATGGTGCAGATCAGCAGCACCTTAATTACATTTAGTTATGGCAAAAAACTTAGCAGCTGTATTGAAAGGAGAGATTGAAAGAGTCTGTGCAACAAAGTATTAATCCTCTCCCCTGACACCTCTGACTGTTGCTAATGTTGTCTTGCATATTAAAAATGCATGATCCTGTCCTGCTCTCAACATAAAATCGTCTCAGCCAGAAGCACTATTTTGTTAGCTTCCTGACCTGTCAGCCAGCGCAGAGGCCCGTTTGCAAATCACATGGCGGTGACTGAAGATGAGAAATGCCCTGAGCTAGTAGGTAGGGCTTTGAAACTGGCTGGTCACCCACTGCGTGCGGGAGAAGAGACATCCAGAGAGAGGAGGCTGGGAGACGCAAAGCTGTTAAAACGGCGCAGCTCTGCGCTGGGAAAAGGTCGGCCTGCGGAAGGCAGTGTTGTGAGAAGACACGGCGCTGGTGTCACTTAATTGCCAGCATCAGTTTGATATTGCTGTGAGCGCCCGCACTAAGGAAATAATAAAAGGCAAAGGGGATGAGGTTCTGTCAGAAAATAATGAATACGGTAATGAGAGAAGGAAGCGCAAAACAGCCATAACAGAGAGGAGCATGCAAACGCTCACAGAGTTGTGAGCGTGATAAACACACACGCCGAGCGGAGGCGTCCGCGGTGACATCGGAAGGCCGCGGCGTTTGCATAGCTTTGGTCGGAGTTCATTTTAAGCATTTCCCTCTTCCTGGAACATTTGAATAAAATAGGTTGTCCTGCCGAGCTAATGACCCCTGCTTTCCTGTGGGTTAGGAAATCAGTCCTACCTCCTCATACTTTTCCTCTGCTCCTTACTGCTGTGCTCTCTGACCTCACTTTACTTCCAGTTCCCCATCAGCCCTCCTACACCATGTTACCTCCAGGATCGCCCTATCTCCCAGTCACCCTGCTCATCAAAATCAGCGTATGTTGAGGTGCACTTGGTGCTGTCTGACCAGCAGCACTTTGCTGGCTGGCTGGTGGCAACCGAATGAAACAGAGACCTGCTGAGTTCATGCTGACACCCTTTCCTCACTGGTGTCACAAGTTAGGGTCATTGTCCTCCACCCAGACACCACTCTTCCTAAAATTAGAGAGGGAATTTGACTGTCTCGAGACCTATAGCCAATGAAGATTGCTGCTGAGGTGTTAGAATAAGACATCAAATAAGACACAGTTGGGTAGAATAAGACCTAGACACTGCCGATCGTGTATATCAAACTCAATGGAAATTCAGGGAAAAAAATATAGCCTTGAGGAAATGATAGTGAATGACTCCATGTGGGAAAGATACCTAATAGTCTATATACTGCATTATCCAATTGCACATCTTTGGAGCCCCAATTAGCTGTTATTCCCCATTGCACCATGTCATCTTTAGAGTGGCTCTTGAGTGTGTCATTTGCAGTGTTTTCACTCCAACTGTAAACATTGTCTTTCTCAGAGATAATGTTTGCATGTCTCTCATCCTTCTCCCACAAGGAAATGAAAGCATTTTAAAACTCTCAGTGGAAAGTTATGCTGCTTTTTTAAGATGAAGTATTATTTATCCCAGTTACCCAGAGAGGGATACTTGACCTGATCATGTTGAGTGATTCACCTGAATTCTAACTCAGAGGAGAAAACTTCTCCAGCCTTCCTCTATTCAAGAGGAAAATCCTACAAAAAAAAAGTTCATTTGAAATTTTTGTTGAAATGGGAAAAGCCTGGGCACACCTAATCTGACAGTATCCAAAATGTTAAGAAGTTAATTCTGTGAGATGTAATAGAAATTAGCAAAGAATTCCCAGGTCTTTGGCTAAGGATATGAGGACTGATGGTTTCCACCATATGCACGTGTATCTGGATGCATGCGCATACATACCTGCACCCTCACAGTTCTTATGTTCTATAGACAGCTCTTAGCACTTGAAATGAAGTTTGCTAACAGCTGCCCTGTAAAAGAGGTGAGGTAGGTAGCATATCCTTTACCAGCTCCGGTAAAACTAAGAAAAACAAAGGACCACACAAATTTGCCCTGAAGAAGAAACCAGAACCACAGAGGATTTAGCAATTCAGCAAATGCCGGCTTCCCACAATGGTACCTGCATGCATTTGGTGGGTTGCGTGAAAAAGGCAAATCTTAATCTGGCCTAGAATGAGTGTGAAAAAGCCAAGTTGTTCTGATAGATGATTCCCTTTTACATATGCTTATCCAAAATGATATCAGTACCATATCTGTGACATTCATCTGTGCTTAGTCTATATACTTTTTGTAAATTTCTATGATTCAGTCAAGTGAGAACAAAGTTGGTAAGAACTGATAAAGCATTAATGACCAGATTTTCTGCTCTGATAGGCTGGACTGATGCATTTCTAACATCTTTATGAGTTTCATCCTCCCCTTCCCCGTACAAATGTGTTAAGTGACTATTAGCATAAAAGCAGCTGCAAATACTTAGTGTAGGTAATTCATTAATATCAAGTTTGGCTAAATCACAGAGATTTCCTTTTCTCTCTCCTCACAGTACTTAGCTCTTTCCGTTGTTGCTACGCTAACATATATTGCTAAAGTAGGACTGATGTGAACTCTGCTGGCAAAGCACTCAGGAACCCATTTTCCTCCTCTCATGCAAACAAACCAGTGTTCATGGTAATAATTCATCACTTATAAAAAGTCTAAGTTGCAAATAGAAAGTCTTTGAATATATGCCAACTGTTACTGTTGGTTTCTTGTTCCAAATTGCCATAATGCCAATGAGCTCCAGGGCTTCAGGCCACCTAAGGGTGACAAATGTAGACTTACTGTAGCATCATCTTTCTAACCAGTAAGTTTCTTACCAGGCTGTGCTTTCTGAGGTCTCTGTTAAAAGTGAAAAGTGACCTAGAGATTATGGATTGATGTATCACAACTTGTGTGGCTGTCCAGCTTGTGCCTAAATTTTAGGTGCCTTTAGTTGTCCTCCTCTAGTAAGTTCTTAACTTCAGTAGAGGTCTACTGAGAGACACAGGTGCTTTTAAAGTCATCCAGAGCTCGCCCCATTCTGTCCAACAAAGTTCAGGCACCTAAGCTGGGTAGACACAAACGCTCCCACAGATGAGGGTGAGATCTATAAGCACCATGGCAAGGTGTTCAGGCTGCCCAGAATCTCCTTTGCTAGAGATCCACTTTCAGAAGGTCGCTATTACAAGAAGTCCCTCAGCTCACTTTGAACTGCAGTGGAAGGTCATTGGTGGCAAAACCCTGCCTCTTCTGAAGGCAGCAGCAAGTTTTCTAGAAGCACACCTTAAAGCCAATGTTGACACCCTAACATTGTATGGGAAATTGAGACTGAGGGCTTTGGCAGGAGCAAGTGGATATGTAATGCTCATGTGCATGCAGCTGGTCCAAAATTCACTCAAGTCAACTGGCGATTTGATGAGCAGTAAATCAAACAAGGGAATACCAAAACAGCCGAACCAAAATAAGCACTTCTCACTTTTTTTTCAGAGATACGGGTGTATTTTGGTATAACAAAGCTCATGAAAAGACAGTGGAGAAAAAAACACATCCAACAGTAAGCCAGTCACACTCAACTTCTGCACCTCTTTGTCTGCTAGGCAACATAAACTCATATGTAGACAGCTATCAGTGCCCAGCTACACACAGGAGGAACAGCAGCTGCACAGATGCCTGGTACAGAATTCAAGTTCAGGGTGATTCAAATGGCACAGCGCACACTGTGCATCCATTTTAGAGCTAAAGAAGAGTTTTGCACTGAAGTGTAACTCTCAAGTTACCCAAAGAGCAATAATTACAGCAAATGAAATCATGTCTACTGTTTTAGGGGATGAAAGAGGGAAAAAGAGTTTCTTGGCCTGGCTTAGCAGAAGCAATATCACCATATCCAGTAGCAGCCCTTTGCCCAGTGTCTGTACTATTGAACTAAGTTGTATTTGTCAGACATGTTTTTGGTCCCAAGAAGGGGATCATCACAAGCCAACATGCTATGCCACAACCCACGTAAGTGAGTTATAAGGAAATTTGAGAAGCTTCCTCAGGGTTCTCGAACATTTGGGTACCTGACTTCTTCTGGGGCTGGGAGTCTGAGCCAGGTTAGCCCTTTCTTGTACAAAATAGCGAAGAAGGCTTCCCCAGCCCCCATTTACAGGAGCTGAAAAACAGATCCTTACTCTGTCAAAAGTAATGTGAACCCAAACATCCATTTACAGAAGTGTCCCCTAATCACTGCCTTAGGAGCTCCCACCCAGAAACTTAGTAGTGCTGCTGACGCTGCTCCACTTTATATGGAATGCTTACCCTTCCTGGAGCAGCATTTGAGAGTGCATGCATGTTGTGTGCACTACCAATAGCAGAGCCATAAGGCCTGAGAGAAGTCCTTTTCTGAGGACCTCCAAGGTCTGCTATCCCTACTAAGGCGTGGAAGTTGCTTGAAGCTTTTTGTCTTCTAAGTAGCCTCTCCTGTGGAGTTTCCCCACCTGATATTTCATGTGCCAGTTACAAGAAAAGTCAAGTCAGGGTTGACTCCCAGCTTGCAAACTCTCCAGCAGTGCCCCAGCAGCCGACTAGTTGCCACAGTGGCATTTTGTTGCGTGTGTGGGAAGAGCTGTCGGTGTCAGCAGTGAATAAAGCTTTGACATGTCGTATCCAAGCAGTTTCCATATTCACCACTTCCTGATGTTATTTTCTTCTTCTCTTTTAAAGGAAAAAGTGATGTAGAGCCAAAGAGTCCAGAGAAAAGCGCAACCCATGCATCGTAAGTTACTTTTGCGTTTCTAACTAGAGAAGGGAACTGTGTTTTTGTTAGATTTGTTGGGCAAAATAGAATTTGTCTGTTTTCGTTAAGATAAAGCTCTTTCACTGATGCTGTTCCTTAAAAGGCTTTTCAGATAATGACTCAACAGTAATTATTCCTAGAACTTTTGCATGCTTGTAAGTCAGAGATCCTCAGGAGTGAGATAGCTTTATATCAAGCTGAGTAGGTAGGAAATGACTTTTGTGGGGGTGCAAGGCTGGCCTTTACAACGTGACTTCAGCATTACCTTAATGCTGGTGGAGTTTGTCACACCTGCTAAAAAACATCATGTCACATATGCCTTTGATGTACTGATGTAATTTTAAAAGACTGCAGTCTGCAGCTTCACCTCTGAATTACTTGAAATCCAATTACAGCTATCTCTGGTCTCTCACGATTTTGTTGATGTTTTTGAATTAACAAAAGAAGTCAAGAAATAGATAGGAACAGGCACTTGTAATATATCAGTGTTCACCTTCACTCTAGTGCAACAATAGAAGCTTTTACCATTTTTAGCTCTAGCATATAAAGGACTGAATTGTCTTCCCAACAAAAACCAGTCCATGAAACAGATGGGCTACAGGTTAAAAAAATAAATGAACAGCATCAGTCTCCCAAACTGAGCTAGATAAGTGAATTCCTTTAGTGTCTACCAGTCAGGAGAGGTTAGAAATTTTACAAAACCTTTCAGGCTTTTTATCATATTTGAGGGAGGGAAGTTCTTGTAAAAGTCAGTCATGTGAATTTTAGAGTGCATCCTGCCCGTAATTTATGTTTTCTGATTCCTGTTATTTAAATTCAGAGTGCTATATCATGTTAATCCTGCAAGGTGTCACCATTTGTTACATGGCCAAAAGTAGTCACAGAAGGAGGTACAATAAGAGTGATTTATTGGGGGTTGTTTTGATTTCTGCTGCAAAAACACATTAAAAATGTTCTGGAAATGAATCTAGAAAAAGATTTGATGCAATGTAATCAATGGCTTGTCTTGTAGATTGTGTTGTGGAATGTAATTACAGTATGTGAGCATATTTAGCCAAACATTAAATGAATTAAGCATTCTGATGGTATGATTGCTGGGAATGGTTAATAGAACGATTCCAATAATTATCATTTTTAAAAATAATATTGCAATAAAGAACTAAAGAGGAAGGGCTTTAATGCCATCTGGAGGTATTTTGGAGAAATGAACACATTTATTTTTGCTAATATTTAGCAATATGCAAAACACAATAAGTCCTCTGAAGTGTTCTTACTAGTTTGATGGTATTTTATTCATGAGGAAAGTTCTCTCCTTTCTTTTCCTTCACTGGAATAAAATTCTGCAAGAGCTCTGAACCAGGAATGTCCCAGTATGTTTTAGTTTGAGACTACGTACTGTATAATATAATGTGCTGTATTAAATACAGCAAACTTGAAAATCTGATTAGGTGTGAAAAGCTCCTTGCCTAATGAGTGGTCTTAGTACAACCTTCCGAAACTATGCACCGTCTATTACGTCTAGCATATTTATAGTGCTCATCTTTAAATTGTTACCATGTGCTAAAGGTTACTCCACAGCAGATACTGGTTCCTAGAACTATTTTTAGAAGAAGAAAGGATAGGTTACCACTGATAAATGACTTCATTCAAGAAACAGTGGCTTGTGTAGTTAGAGGAACGGTTTGTGTGGAAAAGGAAGGAGGACGTGAAAGGAAGGGAACGAGCAAGTACTGTGGCAGAAAAGGAGGAAGAAAATGAGAGTGCTTGAGCTAAGAAGCCGGAAAAGAAAATGCAAACACCAAATTTACAGGAAGTACAAAACTGAGAGCAATGGAAGAGAAAAACAGTGGTGAAACACTGGAAAAAAGAAAGAAAGGAGAGCAATATGGGCAATAGCTATTAGCAGACTAAAACGTATCTATTTTTGAACAGTGCTGAGTACCTGAGTGTTGCAATGAAGTGAATTAGCTCATTGTAATGTGCAGGTAAACACAGAAATCCCAGTTCTCTTTCTGCTAGATTAGGTGGGCTTTCCCTGGGTTTCTTCTGATTCCACCTTGTGATAGGATAGACTTCTTATCCCTGGTTCTCAGGGAGTCACGAATACAGACTTCTTTTTTTTCTTTTGGGGACAGAGCAGCTTGCAGCTATGCACAAGACCCCCAGACAAGAAGAGGCTACACCAGAAGGATCCCCAGTGCACACGTGCATATGCATGTCTGGGCACACATGTGCACATGTCCATGTACAGTAAGAAACGCAATCATCCCCTCTATCCATGAGCATGATTGTGTCATGAAGAGCCCCAGCAATGCCCCAGCCTGCACACGGGGGCCATGACTGCTGGGCACTGCCAGAGGGACCCGGCCGCGCTGCAGAGGGTGGAGATGTGCAAGGGGGCACAAGCAGGGCAAGGGGTCCCCATGTGCAAAGATGCGATGCTCTCTCGTGCGGTGCGGATGCCCTGAACGTGCCAAAGGAGCCCAGTAGGCACCTTGCTGCAGGCTTGCTGGAAAGGAGCAGCGCTGGCTGTGGGGAGCCTGACTGAGAGGAACCATGGAGAACCAGAAAGGCTTCACTGTCAATGCACTTCCCTGTGAGTCATCATTTCTTTGCAAAAAAGAAACAAACAGCAACAAAACCCACAAAGCAAGTCATGGTGGCCTGGATAAAAATAACGGAGCAAAGGCTGGGAGGAGCAAATTAACGTTTCTTTCTTGCAAATGTCTTCTTTATTTTCCTCAGGCATGTCAGAAGCCACACACTCAAGCCAAGCTTATATGACTCAATGGCAGTTAATTCATCCTTAGTGTAGATTTACTACCACCATCTAAGCATTATTTATGCAGCTTCGAAAGACAGGTTGATTACCCTCCTGAATCAGGCAGTGAGGCGCTCATGAACTGAGTGTTTCCATGAGGTCTTCCCTCCAGAGATTACTCCTTGCTTGTCCACCAGACTCTAGGGCCTCAAAAGAAAGGCACTTGGCTGTGATCTGGAGTCAAAGGGACAAAGGTACTACCTGTGATCTCTGAGAGGATAGAAATCTGGACCACAGCATGTGTGGTGTTCTGTTTAGAGGTTTTTCGGTGTAGTAAATGTATCATTCTGAATAGCATTATGTATGTTTTGTTTCTGTATGCATTAACTCTCTGGCTAGACTCCTGCATGACATAGTTCTCCACTGATAATAATATTAAACATTAAGAAACTGGTATACATTAGATGATATACATTAATCGATGCAACATCCTAATTAGGTAGATAAATAAGGTCAGTTATTACAATGCTAGGGATAACTGAGATGAATGAAGGAGAATGAGAATTATGCAAAATCACAGAGGAAGTCTGCGTAGAGCTGCAATATTCCTGTGGTCTTCACCAAATCAGCATGCACAATAATCAGATGAACTGGCACTAAAAAATTGCAATAAAAAGTGTAAACAATAAGAAGGCATTAAGCTGTCTGAGTCTTCTCCAGTTGATTCATGTTTCTCATAATTGAGTGCTTTTAAAGCCACAAGAATTCTGGATTTCAGGGGTTTTTGTTGTTGTTGTTCTCTTAATATATAGCTCTCTGTGGGTCATCTGATTACAGCTTCACTGCACACTTCAAAACTTTTAGGGCTGTTCAGAAATATCCAGCAATGTTTTGTTGCTTTGGTTTTCTGATGGAAAGTTAAATCTTCAGTGGTTAGAAAAATTTCACTGAAAATACAAGATTTTGTTAAAAACACTTTGCATATTCTTCCCAGGTTTTTGTCAATTAAGGGGGAAGGAGAGAATAGAAAAAGAGTGTTTTTAGGTTTATTTTTGTTTTCAGATACATGATTTCAGTCTTTGTTTGGCAAAAACTGGATACTTTTAGTAAACTTTAAAACGTTGACTTAAAATTTTAATTTTATAAAACTTCCATGCAAGGATAAAGGGTTCCAAGCAGTGCATATGTTACGTAGGCTCTAGTGGTGCTATAGAAACTTATCATCAAACAGGGGCTTTGAGAAAGTTCATCCTCTCACATGCAAAATATTACAATAGTCCAAAACCAGCATAAATGCACCAAGCTCACGAAAAGACCTCTGCTCTTGGTATGACTTTCAATGCATTGTCTGCTGTGATGTTCTTCGGTACCTTTGTGTTTGCAAATGGTTTCCAGTTCAGACTACCCAAGGTTAATCATGCCTGACTGTAATTCACGGCTATGCATCTACCTCGATATTTCTAGTGCGCTAACTTAATGATATCAGCACAAGCAACTAGATACCTCCGTGCCATCTCTTTATTATCCCTCCCACAATTGTTTTCATGCTGAGCTGCTCCAGATTTTCCCTCCCTTTTTGCAGGAGAATTAACCAAGATGGAGGGAGGCTTCTATAATTTATGGCAGTTATGCAAGTTTTGTCCTTTGCTAATACTCTATATTTATGAGAAGTAAAGAGATCTTGGTATGCATGTTTGCTTGTTTGCTTTTGCCAGGCTGAAATAGTTGCTGGCTCTATTCCTTCTGTGCACGAGTTTCTACCATCACTTGGAGAGTGGTTTGCTCGGGGGGATCTCCATTAACAGTAGTAAATTCAGCAGCTTCGAAGCTGCCTTTTTGCTAAGATTAATATTACAGTCTCATCCAGCCTTTGACTGTCAAAGTCATTTTCATGACCCTGATTCTCCTTGAAGATGAAAATGGGAAATTTCATCCCATTCTCCCATAGGAGAAATGTCACAGTTGTTCTTGCTGAATGCTGTCTATTGGCACGAGCATGGCCTGTTCATTTCTTGCCTTTTCTTCCTCCCTTGTATCTTGCTCCTTTCATCTTCAGAGTGATGCACAGACAGTTATTTAATAATCAAAGACCTCTGCTGGTTAAGTTGCCCATCTTACAGATGAGGAAACTGAGGCAGAGGCATTGGGGTTCCTCCAGAGAAGAAGGAGAATCAGTGCCAAATGTAGGAGATCAGCTTGAGCAAGCGCTGCGAATGCA